GGAGGCTCCAGTTAGTCCAGAATGCAGCCGCGCGGGCGGTGATGGGAGTGACTCGTCGCTCCCATGTAACGCCGCTGCTGCGCGAGCTGCACTGGCTGCCTGTGGCCTTCAGAGTGCGCTTCAAGGTGTTGATCATCATCTTTAAAGCGCGCCATGGCATCGGACCTGGTTACCTCCGAGACCGCCTTCTGCCACAGATCACCTCTCACCGGCCGATACGCTCCCACAGAGAGGGTCTCCTCAGAATGCCGTCAACCAGACAGTGTCGGTTGGCGACCCCCAGGGGGAGAGCCTTCTCTGTTGGAGCCCCCACCCTCTGGAACGAACTACCCCCAGAGATCCGGGTGATTCCGGATCTCCCCTCCTTCCGCCGCGCCCTCAAGACATGGCTATTTCAGCTGGCGGGACTGGCCTAATGGGTATTTTAAAATTGGTTTTTAAATAACTTTTAAAAAAGGAAGAATAAGGCCCATATTAATATTTCTTTTTAACTATATTTTAAATTTTGTATATTGTATTGATTGTTTTGTTTTCAAACTGGCTGTAAGCCGCCCTGAGTCCACCAGGAGAAGGGCGGGGTATAAATGTAATAAATTCAAAATTCAAATTCAATTCTGAAAAGAAATCCCTTCTGGATCACTTGCAGATCAAAGAATTAAGATGTCCAACAACCAGAGAAGTTGTACAATGATCTGAACTATCTGATGTCTTGCTGGTTTCTGCAATTTTTGATTAAACTGGTTGTTGATCCTATTTTTGTTGTCCTGCCTCTTCTCCATCTTTTTGTCTTATTATGAGAAAATCACAGCTTTATATACTATAACTAGTAAGGAGCATCAGCTGAATCCTACTTCTTTCACACGCTGGAATTACAATACCTGGTGAAGTGGCACCCATGGAAGGTATGTGGTGGCAGCAGTGGAAGAGGAGGTATGAAACCTCCAACTTTTCACCATATGGCTCAAGATCCTGTCTTGAATGGGTTTCTGCAGGTAGCATTTGCTCAGTCTTTCTGAATGGGATTATCAAATCTGCATTTCTACAGAGCTGGCCTCTGCCTGGGGCTATTAAGAAAAACTGGGCCTGCTTTTCTGCCTTTAAGTTCCTTTGGAGAAATATAATATTCTGCCTTTTTAATATTCTTCAAAATATTTCCTTCTCTGGGGTGGGGTGGGGGGCTTCCTACACTAGCAAGGAAAAGGTAAAACAGGTAATGGGTTAAAAGGAAAATAAATTCAACAGTGCCACCTCCTGGCCGTGTGCCTTGAAGTGCATCACTAGGACTACAGCAATTACACAAGGTATAAATGGTGTTCATGTGATGCCGGACACTAGTGAAACCACAATTGCAATACTGCATCCAATTCTGGTCACCATGATACAAACAAGATGTTGAGAACCTGGAAAGTGTGCAGAGAAGAACAACAAAGATGGTAAAGGGCCTGGAGGCTAAACTGTATGATGAACAGTTGAGGGAACTAGATATATGTCTAGTTTATTGAAGAGAAAGATTAGGGGGGGACAAGATAGCTATCTTCCAGTACTTGAAGGGCTGTCACAAAGAAGAAGGGATTGGCTTATTCTTTTGGGCAGGGGTAGGCAACCTTGGCTCTTTTATGACTCGTGGACTTCAACTCCCAGAATTCCTGAGCCAACATGGCTCAGCATGGAAACCTCTCCCTTTCCCCTCAGCATGGCTGGCTCAGGAATTCTGGGAGTTGAAGTCCACGAGTCATAAAAGAGCCAAGGTTGCCTACCCCTACTCTTGGGCATCAGAACTCAGGACAAGAAATAACGCATGGAAGCTTGTCAAAAAGAGATCCAACTTAGAAGTAAGGAGAAATTTTCTGACCTGAGAGCAATTAATCAGTGGAATAGCTTCCCTTGAGTTGTGGGTGCTCCATCACTGGAGGTTTTCAAAAATAGACTGGATAACCATTTTGACTGGGGTGGTATAGGACTCCCACCTTGAGCTGGGTGTTGGTCCAGAAGGCCTCCAAGATTACTTCCAGCTCTATGATTCTGTGTGGAATTTTCTTTGGAAGATCAATATTTCCCTTGATCCTGTCTGTCTGCTTTCTCCAGGGCGTAAATGGAGCTGTTCAGTTTCCCAAAGGATTCCTAAAGGAAGCTTATCAGTTGGTGCGTGAAAGGGGAGGTCTCTGCATAGCAGATGAGGTGAATATCTGAATGTGATTCCCGTCTCCAAATTTTATGTGCATCGTTTCTACAAGGACGGCTATTTTAGATATCGTTGGCAGAGTGGTTAGATTGGCTGGGCCCCTGGGATTGGGACTCTACAAAGCATTTGAAGAAGACTTTGCAAAACAAGTTGGCCTGAGGGAACTCCTCCTCCTACAAGCAAGACAGTTGGTGTGTCTTCTAGAAATAAGTAGAAAGCAAACACAGGACAAAATTTAAACTGAATCCTGAACTTGGGAGGAGTGGGTAGTGTTTTCTCTAAGGACTTTACCATACACAGATTTCAGTTTGGAAGTCACTTCTGTGTAAGAGCAGCTGATGAAATACTTGCATGCATGTAGCATATCTGATAGTGAACCAAAAGGTGCTTTTTTCAAAAGTCAACTGGACTTTCTTGGGGGTTTTTTTCTTTGAAAATTTTTTATTTCACATCCAAAACATTTCTTCAGAACTACTTCTTCAGAAGAAAAAGCTTCTTCAATGAGAAGTGAAATGTTTTCAGAGAAAAGAAAACAAAGAAGTCCAGTTGCCTTTTGGAGGGGGGAAAAAAACCCCTTTAGGCCAGGGCTTTTCAACCTTTTCACCCATTGTACCACTTTTAGGATATGGCAATATCCGAGTACCACCAGTCGCCTAGCAAGGTGTCAAAAACTTGATGACCCCCAAAAAAAGAAAGGAAAAAAGTGATGAAGTACTGGTAGTCCTCGACTTACAACAGTTCACTTAATGACTGTTCGAAGTTACAATGGCACTGGAAAAAGTGCCGAGCAAGAGACCTGCCTGCCCACCCACTGGCGCTCTTCCTCCTGTCCAAGGTTTTCATGGTTATGAGCATTTCTGTTGAGGATTGGCAGCGGGGGTGGGGTGGGGGGGTGTTTGGTTTTTATTCCCGTCTGCTGGGTGGTTGTAGCAGGTTTTGGTCACTTCACATGACCCTGGGACACTGTGACCGTCATAAATATGAATCAGTTGCCAACCATCTGAATGTAAATCACAAGACCGTGGAGATGCTGCAACATTCCAGCTGATCGGCGCTTCTTCTGGGTTCAGCAGAAGCACCAGGATCAACGCTAAGCTCCAGCTGGAGCCTGGTGCTGATCCTGGCGCTTCCACTGAGCACTACAGTCCTGAAGAAGCGCTGATCCTGGCGCTTCTGCTAAGCCCTGACAGCCCTGCAGCTCCAGCCGTCTCTCACTCAGGCTTGTGCGGAGCTGCCACCGGTTCAGCTCATTCCCCTCCCCCGCTACCATTTTTCTAGGGTGGTCGCATACCACCTGCCAGGTGACAATGTACCACAGCTGGTACCCGTACCACTGGTTGAAAAGCTTTGCTTTAGGACAATCATGATCTGGATGATTGAGAATCTCCATAAAACCTGACAGGGAATATATACAGTTCCCTATCAGGAAACAATAGCCTTAAAATATAGATGCTACTTATATAGAGAAACTACAGCACGGGTGTCCAACCTTGGCAACGTTAAGATCTGTGGACTTCAACTCCCAGAATTCTCCAGTCAGCCATGCGCTAAACCTTTTTAAAGCACCTTTTCTATGTTCCCCCAAGGTTCAGACTGGATTTGGTCGAACGGGCAGTCATTTCTGGGGATTTCAAGGTCACGATGTCATTCCAGACATAGTTACCATGGCCAAAGGAATTGGTAACGGCTTTCCCATGGCGGCAGTTGTGACCACAGCAGGTGAGAACTACTTTCACACTTGGTGGGTTTCAGAGTGAACAGCCTTTCCTGCACAGAGTCCAGGGGTGCGGGTTATGCCACAAAGGGGGTGCAATCACATCAACATGGGAGAAAGGTCAGGTAATTCTCTGTTGTTTTCCTGGGTTGAAGAGGATTTGGGGGGGGTTTCTTCCCCAACAATGTCATACGTTCCATACGATTGTTCCCTGCTTCAAAATGGCAGGATGCCATTCCACAGTCTTCAACAATCGTTTCCCAGAGGCCTGGAGGGCTATGAAAAAGAGTTTGGGTTGCATTTTATCCTTGACCTTAGCACGTACGCTCATATTTCAGAACACACATGAGACGATAAATTTTGCTGGATCAGTAGAATTTTTATCTCATATTGTTCTGTCCCAGCCTACGTGAGTTCTTGTTAAGCTCACAAGGAGAAACCCCTCTTCCAACAAGCAGGCTGGAACCGCAGGAAAAAACCAATCCCCTTTTATTATTCACAGACCTGAGTCAATGTCCAATGCAAACAAACACAGTTCACAGAAACTCAATCCTCAACATGAATGGTTGCCTTCGGCAACCAGCACCTCCCACACCTTCCCTTTTATTATGCAGCCAAGGTGTGGCTTCCTAATGCCTTCTCCTTTGCCTTTGGAGCCGCCCCATTGCATTTCTCTGTCCTACTCTCTTTTCTTGCTGGCATTTTCATGCATCCTGGATATCTCCCAGTTGTGATTCATCACTGTCCAACTCAGACTCCTAGCACAGCTGTGTCTCAGCCTGAGCGCGAGTAGAGGGGCCAGGCTTCTCGTCAGACTGTAAATCTTGGAGCTCCTCAGAGCCTTCCTCTGACTCTGATGTCACTCCAGGCCCCTCCTCCTCCTCTGATTCCTCAGACTCAGCTGCCGGGTCCACTGGCTGGCGAGGAATCACAACACATATAGAGAAAAGCCATAAACAGGCACTATGAACAGACATGGACTCTAATTCTTATTCTCTCTGTCTCTCCTCTTATTCTTTTCTTTTTCCTTCCCTTGCCTCTGCCAGGGCACATAAAAATACTGTCACTACAATGTTCTGTTAATAGGGTGAACCAGATTGTGATTCATGAATGCTTATGAAATAATTGTGTTATTCTTTAAGGTTTATCCTATGACTTTATCATAAAAGATGTAATCTCCAGCTAACAGCAGGTGGCCCACAAAATAATCTTACAATTTTCTTCCATTATGTTTCACCTGCATATTTTAAATTAAAATAAATGTTTTAAAGAAACTATCAGTTTCCTTTCCACTCTCAGTCAACAGAAACTAAACCCAAAGCCCTATTCTATGAAATTGTCATATTTCTAAGAATCTCAGAGTCAGAATAGAGCTGGAAGACCATTGAGGTCTTCTAGTCCAACTCCCTGCTCAAGCAGGAGATGCTATAATATTTTAGACAAGTGACTATCCAGTCTCTTCTTAAAAACCTCCAACAATAAAGCACCCACAACTTCTGACGGCAAGCTATTCCAGTGGTTAATTATTCTCACTGTTAGGAAGTTTCTCCTTAATTCCAGCTTGCTTCTCTCCTTAATTAGTTTCCAACCATTGTTTCTTGTCCTGTCTTCTTGTGCTTTAAAAAATAAGTTGACCCCTCCTCTTTGTGGCAACTTCTCAAATACTGGAATACTGCTATCATGTCCCCCCTAGTCCTTCTTTTCTCTAGACTAGCCAAACCCAAATCCTGCAACCATTCTTCATATGTTTTTATCTCCAGGCCTTTAATCATCTCAGTTGCTCTTCTTTGCACTTTTATACAACCAAGAATTATATTAGCTTTTTTGGCTACTGTAGCACAGTGTAGCACACTGTTGGCTCATATTTAAGTGATCGTCCACTAGGACTCCAAGGTCCCTCTTACAGTTACTGTTTTTGAGCCTGGTACAGTCATAAATTTTATAAATAATCGTAAGTTTAAAATACAGAAATTAGATAAATATGGCTGAATGAGATTATTTTGATCACCATGAAGTTGTTAAGTCTTCATTTTTGCAGCTCCTTCAGGACTGTGGTATGAAAATTGAATTGGTAGAATTGCAGAGCTTAATTGTCAAATAATGTGATACTGTAGTTTTTGGATGCCTTGACTAGATAAAATAAATGAATTACTTTTTAATACAATCTGGTTTTGCAGTGTAAACAAATCCAATTCAAATGCATAGTTCAGCCTAGTAATAGCCTAGTAATAATTCAAATGCATAGTTCAGCCTAGTGAACGAATGACTTTGCATTAGACTATGGGCACCTGCATCTGGTATTTGCATAAACCAAAGAAACCTTTAGATAAAAATCACTTTAGGTGGAAAGGGCTTTGACTACATACAGACTTACTTTCAATCTGATCCACTGAACATTGAGAGCACAGGTTCACAAAAGAACTTCTGAGTCACTATGGGAACACTGAGGTTCCAAATAGAGTTAATCCTCAATTTACAAGCACAGTTGAGACCAGAATTTCCATTGCTAGAGGAAGAGGTTGTTAGCCTCATTGCATCCAATTTTACGACCTTCCTTGTCACAGTTGTTAAGCAAATCACTGCAGTTGTTAAGTGAATCATATGGTTGTTAAGCAAATCCAGTTTCCCCTGTGGACTTTCCTTACTGGAAGCCAACAGCTTCTTTCAGTGCTGTTGTAACTTCAGTCGCTAAGCAAATGCTGTAAATCAAGGTCTGCCTGCATTGTAAACATAGATCTCTCTTTTTATGTTACTTCCAGCTGCTGATTTCTTTAATGAATGACTTTACAACTTCATGTATTAATACTAATATATTTTGGTTTTAGAAATTGCACATAGTTTGACAGAGAACCTCCATTTCA